CAAATTTAAAAGGAATTAACTTAAGTGAAAGATCGCATTCGAAGAAATCACTGTGATATATTTTTGTTGTATATTAGGATCATGATGATTTCTTGTAATGAGTTTTCTCCGGGTTAAATAGTTTAAGAGTGGACTCATATTTCTACTAGTGCATTTGATAGTGCATATATAGCCAGGTATACTCCGCTGAAATAATATATGGGGATATTTACTGAGAGGGACTCAGTACTTGAAACGCACAAACGAAACACACAGCTATGAGAAGAGCCAATTAAATAAGCTGTTTGTTTCTACTTGTTCATCTTTCAAAAAACAATAATTGAAAAAAGGCTTCAGGCAGGGTTTCAAACTTTATTGAAAGATTTAGAATAGAGTTATTGTGCCTTCAGGATGAAGCTATTTTTGATTCTTTTTTTATTTTCAATCAATTGGAAAGGGAAGTTGAAATAATATAAAACTGAAAAAAAAATAGGATATTGAAAGAGTGTGGTTTATAGATTATATCATTTTTTAAGGCTGCTGATGATGCGCCAATTTTTTCTTATAAGATTGACTCAGTATATTATTGAATAATGTAGGTTTTATAAAAAAAAAATTCGGTAGATTTAGTTTGACATGTTTGAGAGTTACCATATTGTTAAATTTTTTTTTTTTTTTGGCTTTAAAAAAAAAAAAAATTTAGAATTTGTCGCTTATCAATAACACAAAGTTTTTTTTTTTTGAAAAGAACAATTTCAATATGAATGGAAAGGGAGAACGATGACGATATACCTCAGGGGTTAAATCATCGATATTCTAGAGAATGCATTTAAGAAATGATGAATGAGAAAGAAAAAAAGAAATGTATATAAAGTTTTCATTTAGAGTAAAGAATTTAGAAACGTCAAAAATAAATTAAAGATATATTTTAAAATAGAGCAATTTTGAGTGGTAAAAGAGTAGTTAAAAGTATTTTTTTTTATCTACGTAATATATATATATTTTTTCAGTAAATAAAAAAACATATTTTAAAAAAAAAACTTTTATGGCATAAGAATAGAACTTTTTTTTCGTCGTTACTTGTCATTAGTAGAAAAGGGCTTAGCCTTGGAGGGCTTTAAACAGGAAATCCCGGAGAAGTATTTTCCTTTTTAGAATGCCACCAATAGAAATTATTGATTCAAAGATATAATTAGGAGATGAAAAAAGCAAAAGAAAAAAAAAATAAAATATATTAAAGTGAAAGAAGAAGAAATCACCTTTTTTGGCTGATGAGAAACTTTGTTAAAGGAAGGAAATGGCGTTGGAAAAGTAAGAAAAAAAATTTTTTTTTAAGTTTTCATGCTTGGACGAGGTGACCTTCGTCATAGGCTGAACAAGAAAGTAAAAAGATATCAATCACAAAGAGCTTTGGTAATTTTTAATTTTTTAAAAACGGAACTTTTAGTAGATAATTAGGAGTAGGTTTATTAAAGAAGAAGAAATAGAATGAAAAGTTTTTGATCTGATTTCGAGAATATACGAAAAAAAAAAAAAAAATGGTGGTTACCAAGGGAATTTTTATAACTACTACACCTGGTGATGATGAATTTTTTTTTAAAAAAAAAAATATATAGTAAAAAAAAAATATCTGTAACATTAAAAATTAGTTTAATAGAATAAAATGGTATTAAAATTTACTATGAAGCCATGTATATAAAGAAAAGTAGAGAAGGAAAACGAAAAGGAACTTCTTTAGGCTTAAATATTTCATTTTTTTTTGAGGGCACTAAAACACTTAAATTCTTTTGGAGGTGTTCTGCTTGGAGATTCTAACCCATCACCGCACCATGGAAGTTAATTAAACAAGTAAGCATGCAAATTATCAAATTTTAAAAGACCTAGGCAGGTTAATAAAAATTAAAATAAAAAATAAAAACCTATTTATGTAATGTAATTTTGAAAGGAGATCTCTCGCTACGAAGATTGTTTTCTTATTTTGTTAATCATCACCACCATTTCCACAATCCATTTTTTTTTTCACATTGAATTTAAGCAAAAATATTATCATATAAACTAGTAAAAAAAAAACTAAAAGCATTATATATTAAAGTTAGGAATATTATTAATGTCAGGTTTATAATAATTATTATGTCTTTTTTTTAACTAGACATTCTAATGTAAGGAATGGTTGTAAACATTTGGAAAACCGCGAGATTATGAGGGTTCAAAACCAATCACCCCTCAACTCAGCGGCATCAACCTCAACCTTCATATCATGCGCAATTTCAAATCCCTCATAAACTGTAATTAAAACGTTGAAACTTTTTTGTTTTCATTAGATGCTCTGAGAATAATAATAATATTATTATTTTTTTTATTTTTACAAACTCGGCTTATTGTAGATGATAACTGTCGGATATTGTACCGTGCACATTATCGGCAAAATTCAAACAATTCAACCGGATATGAATTTCTCTTATTTCTTTTAAAAAAAAATTTTTCAATGAAAGAATTTTAAAATCATTCAGAACATTGAAGGAATTGAGATACTTTTGAGAGTTGTTCAAGTCCGGGCAGAAGAAAACATTAGACTTTTGTAAATTTTAGAAATGGTTCTAAGCAAAAAGCTGCATCTTTAAAAGAAGTAAATCCGTATGTACGCCCTCTAATTTCGGTGGATCCAACTGCACATTCTTTTAGTAGCATTGATTTGTTCATCAACACTGTGACCAAGAATATCATGATTATTATGAAGGTTTTTGATACTTTTTTTTTTTTACTTCATCCTTTTTCAAATGACTGGTAGCTTTTAACATTATTTCCCATCTCAATTGATATCCTTAACCAGGAAGTTTTTTTATTAGGCTTTTAAATTGAACTATCTGGCATAATAAATGAAATTGATGAAAAGGAAAGCGACAATGATGTAATAGAATTTATAATGGGGGGAGTTTTTATATATATATATTTAAATATAAAAAGATATGAAACAAAATAAATTGACAGCTTTTTAAAGAGGCACACCAAAAGTAAACTTACAACATATACGACTTATACTTTCGGTAACCAATTTCAGTATATATATATATATATATATATATATAGAATTGTATTAAACAAATAAATTTTGTCTAGGTTTATTTTTGTAGTATTTGAAGAAACCATTTTCATTTGAAGTGTAAATTGGGTTTTTGGTTTTCATAGTGGAGGTAATTTGTTCTATGTAATAATAATAAATTTTATCCCCCACCTTTGATATCTCATATAAAACAAAATACCAAGTTTTGGTTTTTGGTTTTTGGTGTACTACCACATACATATATATATGAGACGATGCACTACATACTTTCAACCAATATTATACAAAAGTAATTTTTATTTTTTATTTTTTATTAAGAGGGGGAGGAAAACCACCACCTACAAGTATCATGATGAGAAAAAAAAAATATTCCAGAAAACAAGTCATGCCATTTTTTTTTTTTGAGTGGTTTAGGTAGTTGGAAACTTTGGAGTTGTGTTTCGAAACTAAACTGAAAAGAGACTTGGTTTGAGGACTAGTAGAGAGGGAAAAAAAAAAATAAATAAATAAAAACAAAAATAAAAACAAAAATAAAAACAAAAATAAAAATAAAAATAAAAATAAAAATAAAAATCAGGAATGACTTTTTTTTTTTTTTTTTTTTTTTTTTTAGTTTAAAGAAATCTTAAAGTCTTTGTAGATTTACTGCTTAATCACTGAATGGTTAATTGAAAGTGAAGAATAGATTCTAGAAGAAGTTCGTGTTGCAGATCATGCAAGAATATTTTACGAGAATTGAGATAAACGATGATGGCTTAATAAATGAATTCCTGAAAATGGAATTGTATATTTTTTAATATTTCTGGAAAAAAAAAAAAAGATGACTATGATGACGATGATGATGATGATTCAATGACAGTAAGGGTCATTAGCGTTTGCGATTAAGGCCGGTAGAAAAAGGATTTGTTAATGACCCGGGTTTACGATGCATGAATTATTCATGCGATAAGCAAACATGGCATTCGACAAAATCAGATGGGATTTTGAGATTAATGCGCTGAGCCAGCTAGGAGCTTTAGAATTGATGGATGGATGAAGGTAAAAAAAGAAAAAAAGAGAAATGACATTTATTTGAGAAACAAAATAAGAGTAAAAGCCGTTAATGACGAAAGAAAAGGTTTTTTTTATCAAGTGAGTTGTTTTTTTTTTTATTTTTATTTTTTTTTTTTTGGACCGACGGGTATTTTGAAGTTGAATTTATATAGAATATATAGGGACCCTCTTGGGAATTATGTCCCATAAGAATTTAGAGTACTACAGAAAGACCAGCATGCCAATTCGATGTCTAGACCGAAATAAAAATAATAAAATAATAAAATAATAAAATAATAAAATAATAAAATAATAAATTAGAATTTTTAAAAAAAAAAAATAAAAAAAAAAGGCTTGTGACGGAACGAGTCATAGTAGAGATCTATTGATCATAAATGAAGATTAAGACTTTTATTACATATATTGAAAAATAATAATAAAAATAATAATAATAATAATAAAAATAAAAGTAGTAGTATTACTAGTAGCAGCAGCAGACATGATAGCAAAAACAGAAGTAGTAGCAGCCAAGTATTACAGTAATATATTATAGCGCCAACAGTATAATAGTGGCAGCAGCCGAGCACGTAGTGCGCTTAGGTAACAATTGTCTGTGCGTATGAAAACGCGATCCCCCACCTATCTTTTTAGCTTTACGGCGTCAAAAGTTGATAAAAGTTGATTAAGATTAATAACTAGGTGCTATTATTTGAGCTTTGTACTTTTTTTTTGTATTTAAGTCTCTGACCTCCCCGCTCAACTTCTTTTTTTTTTTTTTTTTATTTTATTTTATATTTTATAAATATATCTTCTTCTTCTTCATTATTATTATTATTATTATTATAATTCTTTCTCATTTTTCACATTACATTTCCATTGCTTTTTTTTTTTTTTTTCTCTTTTCTAATTCTTTTTCTTTAATATATAAATGAACTCTACTATGTTTAGCTCCACGGATTTGCTGCCAGAATACCAGCAGCAACCTTTTATGGATCCGTACTATAACAACTGGGCAACAGCAGCACCACCTCATCAACATCAACACCATCTACAACATCAAGTCCAAAAATCAACAACAACTTGTTCTTCTTCTTCCTCTTCTACTTCTTCTAACAATAACACACCGGTTGCCGCTGCTGCACCACTGCTGATAGGTGCTGATATGGCTCCAATCCAAACCACTCCTTCACAGCACGCAGAGCCTGCACAGCTGCTAACACCTCCATTGACAGCCAGCGCTGCTGATGCTTCTGTCTATGGATGGCCTACAGCAACTTCTGCTACCAATACTTCTTCTACTGCTGCTTCTGCTCCTGCAATGGCTTGTGTTTCTTCTGATATGGTGACATATGTGACTCCTCAGAGCCGACCAGACCAGCAGCAGCAGCAGCAGCAGCAGCAGGGGCAACATTTTGTGGTCTCTTCTGGCATCATGACACCGGAAACAGATCCCGAATTTAATGTTGCACAGTTTCCTAAGGACGTTGTTTCTCCCAGTATTAGTATTTCGTGCATCTCGCCGGTCGCCGATGCCGCCATGGTTCCTCAACAGCCTCAGCAAATGCTTCCACTTCCTCAGCCTCTTCCTCAACAGCAGCAGCAGCATCATCATTATCAGCAGCAGCAGCAGCAGCAACAGCAGCAACATCATCAAAATCAACAACATCTGCAACAACATCAACACCACCCACATGGTCTGTATTATACATTCCCAACACCCACAGATGCTTCTAAGCTTCTACATTCTCAACCCATGTATTCCTCACCTGCCCCTCCTCCTCCATCTATCCAGTACATCACCACCCAGCCGTTTGCCCAGCCCGTTGGTCTCCAAGAACCACTTATGCACGCCGGCCCTACTGTTACCACAGCTGCACCTCAGCCCCCTCTTCTTCTTGTGTCTCCGGTCAATGTGCCTCAGCTCGGACCTATCCCCATTGCTCAGCCTCAGCAGCTGCAGCCTGCTGCTCAGTTTCATCCAAGAGCCCGAGCACCAATAATGACCACTGCTCCTGTGGTGGCTACACCTACTTCTACTTCTACTACTACTACTACTACAATTACGACTCCACCAATAGTGCCATGTATTGAGGATCTGCAACAGACTAAGATGGTGAAGTTATCGAGAATGACTGCTAGCCGCATCGAGATGATTAAGAAACTGGCTGAGCAAAAGGGCATCCAGCCTCAGATTGTCGAAAGCGTCTTGTTACTGTACACTCCGGCCGGCCGGGAAAAGTACTTTAAGTATCTGCAGATTGACGACGACATGAGTCGGCTAGATGGCGAGGACATTTACATTAAGATCACAGTCAATGGTGGAGGTACCAATGCTGCTCCTACTCCTATGGAGGATGAGGTACAAAAGCAGCGCGTTGCGGCGGCAGCAGCAGCAGCTAAGCAAGCGGTACTTGCTCAGAATGCGGCTCAGATTCTTTATGGGTCTCCTTCGCAGGCAGCAGCAGCAGCGAATGCGGCAGCAGCAGCAGCCGTTTCAGCAGCAGCTGCGGCATCTGCGTCGGGTTCTAGTAAGAAGAAGAGTCGCAAGAACCGTCGTGATTATGTGAAGCGTCCTTTGAACTCATTTATGCTGTATCGCAAGTCACAAACACAGTCTGCCATGGCTTATGCTGTTCACTCTAAGCTGAAGCTTAATCATCAAAATATTTCTCAGATTGTGGGGCTTATGTGGCAAACAGAATCTAAGGAAGTTAAGGATAAGTTTGCCTACTTTGCTGGTCGTGAGAAGGAGATTCACAAGGTTCTGCATCCTGATTACAAATTTTGTCCTCAGAAGAAGAAGAAGAAACTTGAGAATGATGAGGTTTACTAGAAATATTAATATATAATGCTTTTTTTTTTTTTTTTATTTTTATTTTCTCTTTCATTATTTTTTTGCGTTTTTATTTTTTTTTTTTTTTTTTTTTTTTTTTTTAAAAAAAAACACTGGTTATGATTTTGTTAATTTTTTTTTATTTTAATTTTTATTTTTTGTACTATATACATATACATTGGTTTTTTTTTTTTTTATATTAATATAATCTTTTTTTTGGTGATTTTTTTTTTTTAATAAATATATCTCTAATGGGGAATATGATTGCAACAGCCTTGAGTCCTAAAACGGACCAATGTAGAAAAAGTTTAAGGCCATCTGAGACATTTCATATGGAGGGGGAGAAGATGAAGATGAAGATGAAGAAGATGGGATTCTGAGTTAAGCAAGATATGTTAGTGATAGTATATATATATTTTTTTTTTTAATATTTGATAAGACATTAATGAATGTGATTTATTAGTTGGTTTATATGTAAAAGACAGATTCAAATAGATTCAAATAGATTCAAATATAAAGTAAAAAGAAGATAAATTTAATTGTTTTACACAGGTGGTATCAACAACTACTGTAGTTGAAATTTTTTATATATATATATTTTTATATATAACATATATAAATAAAATATAAAATATATTGCCAATTTACAGATTTTGGGGGGGAAATATTAAAAAAAAAAAAACAAAAAAAAGCAAAAAAGCAAAAAATGTGGACCACAACATTGCTTGCTACAAAAAAAAAAAAAAGATTTCTCCGGGTATTAAAAAAAAAAAAAAAATAAATAACAAAAGAAAAACTAGGGGGGGGAGGAGGAATAAGGAAAAGTCCAAGAGTAACTCAAGTGACATATTATTTAAATGGATAAATGGATAAGAAGAAGATCATCGCTAAGACTACACCGGGATTAAATACAAGTCAAAGATGAAGAAGAAGAAGAAGAAGAAGAAGAAGAAGCGAAAAGAAAAACGGTTATTTTTTTTTTGTAGATCTGTTAATGATAAATATATTTATATTTGTTTTTATATTTTTTTTTTTTGTAAGACCCGTTTGAAATCTTGAATTTTTTTTTTTTTTTATCAAACATAAAATGTCTTTTTTTTTTTTTTTTTTTTATAAATATATATATATATAGTGAGAGTTATCAATTTTGGGAGGAGGATAGATAGGGGAGGGATTAATTATTAACAAAGGACCTTTTTTTTTTTTTTTTTTTTTTTTAAGAATGAATGAAAAATAATGGGCAAATCAATCAATCTATTAATTTTTTTTTTATTTGCATGGGCACAGACATACACACACACACACACACACACACACACAAGTTGTTTTATTTACATTTAAAAAAATATATATATATATTTGGAATAATAATAATAATAATAATAATAATAATAATAATAATAATAATCTTTTACTGCAAGTTTAAAAATTTTTAACTATAGCGGATGAAAGAAAGAAAGTAAGAAAGAAAGAAAGAAAGGGGAAAAAATGGATAAACTTATTATGAGGTACAAAATATAAATATATATATATATATATATCTATGTAGATTTATTTATTTATTTATTTATTTATTTATTTATTTATTTATTTATTTATTTATTTATTTATTTATTTAAGTCAGTTAATATAATGTTGTTTTGATATTTATTAAAAAATCTCCAAATTTTTTTATCAACAAATTGAAATGTTTGATTGATTGCTTTTTTTTAGTTATTTATTTATTTATTTATTTTTTATTTATTTATTTTATTTTATTTTATTTTATTTTTATTATTAAATACAACTTTTCCTCCTTCTTTTCTTGAATTTCAAATGCATGTAATGAAATGAAATGACACATTTCTTCATTTTTCATTCATCATTTTCATTTTCATTTTCATTCATCAAATAATAAGTAACTCCCCGCCTTCAATATTTAGGTACATGAACATGTTGTTGTTGTTGTTGTTGTTGTTGTTGTTGTTGTTGTTGTTGATTATTTTTTTTTTTTTTTTTTTTTTTTTTTTTTTTTTTGCCCAATTAAATTATTACAGATTTGGTTTAAAGTTTAGATTTAAAAATAAAAAAATAAAAAAAATTATTTTTTTTTTTTTTTTTTTTTTTTTTTTGCTATACGATTTAGATAAATAAAAAATCTCAAAAAAGTGTTGAATCACTTATTAATTTTTGACTAAAGTAAAGCTAATAAATAAATTTTTCTTCCATGTTCTGTTTTAAACTGTCCAGATGTCAGATGTCAGATGTTTTAATTATATATATATATAATATAATAATAAAAATAAATAGTAGTCTGTGAATACTTTGAAATTTTTTTCAACAACCGAGGTAAAAAAATATATGAGAAAGAAACCCCCCTCCCCAGTTATGTTTGAATCTAAAAATATATAGAGGCTTAACTACTAAGTTTTAAGTGTTATTAATATTATTATGTTTTTTATTTTTATTTTATTTTTATTTTATTTTTTTTTTTATTTTTTTTGTATTTATCCACCCCACTATTATTAAAATAAAATATTATTTATTTTTTTATTTTTGAGCGGCAACAAAAATAATAATATAAATAAATAAAAACACTTCTTTTCAACACACAAACATCTCTTCCTCCATTCCTAATTTAAGATCTCTTAACTTAATAATTTATTTATTTATTTATATTTCTATTTCTATTTCTATTTCTATTTTTACTTTTACTTTTAAATTAACTAGAATATTATTTTATTTTTTTTTTATTTCTTTGCTTAATTGAGAAATATTCACGCTTGTCTAGTATAGGACATATTTCCTCATTACTATTTTACTATTTTACTATTTACAAAAGAGCAATTGTAAACTCAAATGATATGCACATGAGCCATCATTTTATTTTAAAAAAAAAAAAAAAATGAAATAAATAAAATAATTGACTTGGAAATAGTTAAAGCTTACTATAATAAAATAATTAAATCCAAATAAGTATTGGGTTTTTGGTTGTTTTTTTATTTATTTTTTTTGAAAAATATCTATCAAATTCCAATTCCAATCTATCCATTATTAAAAAAAAAAAAAAAAAAAAAAAAAAAAACTTGTGGTTTTTTATTTATTTATTTATTTAATATCCCACTAATGGAAAAAAATTCCTACTTTTGAATACATTTTTTTTTTTTTTTTTTTGAATAAAGTTTAAAGTGGTTTTCTTTTTTTTTTTCTTTTTTTTTAATAAATTTAATAGTCTAAAATCCCGATTTAGACCTTGGGCTTATATTTTATTTTTTTTTTTTGCCACAATATCAAAATCAATGATTCATTTCAAGCCATTAAATTGCCAAAGCAATCTTGTGCATAGGAGAAGATGGAAATATAGTAAATAAAAGGACCACTTTTTTTTTTTTTTATATTTATTTATTTATTATTTTTAAAATGTTTATTACATATATATAAATATCACTATTCAAAGCTCATGTCAAAAAAAATAATAATAAAATCTTTAGCCAACTTTCGTCAATATAAACCTAAAAGGGATACTGATAATAATATGTATGATTGCCAAATTTGTGGTAGCATTTATTTATTTATTTATTTATTTATTTCAACAGAGCCTTTTTTTTTTTTTTTTTTTTTTTTATTGTTAAGTTATTATATATATTTTGATAATCACACCAGTCACTCTTTTAACTTAACAGAGAGTCCAAATTAGAGGAAGAAAAAAAAAAAAAACAATATTAAAGAAACTTTTAAAGTCTAACTTACACTACTAACTTTTTATATATTTGATTACAATATCTAATAGGATACGAGATTTCAAATGCCATTTTAAGGGATCTCTTTCACTAATTATCTACCCACGTCATACAAATAGATTTATATATATATATAATATATCAATTGGGATAAAATTACTAATAAATGATATACTTGAAATGTCCAATTTTTTTTTTTTTTTTTTGAATAAATAAATAAATAAATAAAACTCAAAAAGTTTCCATGATAGTTTGAGCAAAAACCGCTCACACATTAAAACTTTACATGTGCTGGTATATCGCCCAATTGGTTTTTCCACCGTTAGGAACAGATCAAGTTAAAAACAAACATCTTTTAAAGTTTTTTTATTTTTATTTTTAATAATAATAAAATAAAAATATATAGCAATTAAATATATATATATATATATATATTAAATATCTTTAAACATTGTTGCTCAATGGCTCAGTTTTTTTTTTTTTTTTTTTTTTTTTACTCCATTCCATCATCATCAATTTCAATATCATTCATTCTTCAAGTTTTATTTTTTATTTTTATTTTTTTACCTTATCAGATTTTTTTTTTCTCTCTCCATTTATTCTACTTAAAAATATATATATATATATATATATATATATTTATTTATATATATACATTCAAAAAAAAAAAAAAATAAAATAAAATAAAAATGCTTGACCCATAAAAAAATCTCGCTAAACTAAGTTAAGCATCTCACGCATGCATCTCGCGCCATTGCAGGCTTGCCAGCCAGAGATGGCTCTTCGCTCTGCACACCTTTTTTTTTTTTTTTTTTTTTCTTATTCTTATTCCTCTTCTGTATCAATCATGTTCTCCATTTTACTGCTAATGTTCTGGGAATTACGCTTAATGTAACCATACAAATATATACAAATATTGACACCCCATATATATATATATATATATATATATATATATATACGCACACCCACCATTATCCTCACATAATATTGGTGGACAGAAAAAAATGTCCAAAAAAATGTCCGCCCTATGGACATCCAATGTCACTTTGGTTACTAAATTAATTAAAGTTCACAGCATGATTATTATTATTACATTTTGAAAAACAGGCGATCATACTAATGCTGGGTTATTTTTTATTTTTCTTTTTTTTTTTTCTTTTTTCTTTTACGTTCAAGGGCAAGGGAAAGCGCGCAACCGGCTAATCCCTTTGGCACCTTTGGAAAATAAAATAACCCTTCATTCATTCATTCATTCATTCATTCATTCATTCAAGTATT